CCCCCCCCCCCGCCCCCCCCCCCCCCCCCCCCCCCCCCCCCCCCCCCCCCCCCCATCAACAACAGTATGATGACACGAAATCCCCGTCCTTGCAATCGCATCGGCCGGTAGCTCGGCGCGCCGAGCCCCACGATCATTCCACCCACCCAATCGCGAGCAGGCTGTCCTGCACCTCATACTTATCCATATGTATATACCGTTGCTTGCAACACCAACTCGATGAAATTAAAATACGTCCTTACAATCGTTGGTGTGGTGCAAAGCTTCAGGTACTAAGATTCTCCACTCAGCCTCGCCTAGCGTATAGCCGTCCAATCATCATACAGAGAACCCGACCGCTCCAATCACGGCGCAGATGGCCCGAGCACGAACTCCGCCTTGCGCATTGGCCGCTCCTGGAGTCCCGTACGGCTGCACTTCGCACTGAGACCCAAGCGCACTATCAGTCGGCTGTTTCTCCTATCATCATGGCACAACACGGAAGTAACCCAGGACAACATAGCTAAGGACATAGCTAAGGGGACTCCGGGGGTAAGCTAGTCTCACGAGCATGGAGAGCGTCAAGCAAGATAACTTGTTCAGCTGTCCGGCATTTCTCTGTCGTCTGTACGAGATTGATAGCGGAGACACCCGCGGACCCGAGTAGCAGGGACAGCATCTATGATTCGCAAAAGATGCGCAACAAAACGGTCCCTGTCTACGCACAGACATGCTAGCTTACCCGCACCTGCCTTAGCACAGCCCCTTCACTCTGGGCTAATGCTTGTATCACTAGGCATGTGCAAACTAGCTCTACGGCAGTTTGACTATCAACACTCCATACCCCTCAGGTCCGACTTCAACCCTTTCGTTTACCTCAACAAATCGAGTTTCTTCCATCCGAGCCTTCGCTGAATGCCTTCTTGACACTTTCTTCACTCGTTCCTGATCGCAACCATGGATTTGCTATTTCGCCAAATTTGGGCGCTCATGCGCAAAACTCTCTTGCTTGTCTGCTTGAGAAGACCAATCACCACTTTCATTCGTGCACTCGCTATTCCACTTGTCGTCATTCTTGTTATCGCTTTCAGCAAGACGTGGTTTGCGTCTGGGGGCAATTGGGGCGTGTCTTCGCCTCGCCAGGTCAGTGGCCTCCAAAGCTTTGAGGCACTAACACAGAATCGAACCATTACTAACACTCGAATAGCTACCCTCCCTTGAAGAAGGATTACGAGCAAGTCCTGGCCACGACATTGTAGGCTTCGTCGACAACAGTATGAAAGGAGGAGAGGTCTCAGCTATCATTGATACACTCTCACGACGAATCAGCGCTGCTGGGAAAACGCCAGAGCTATACGATGATACCAGAAGCCTTGCTGTAGTTTGCCGAACCGACAACGAAGGCAACTCACCATGCTACAGCGCCATTGTATTCTTCTCCAGCCCAACCGAGGGAACCAACGAGTCGCCAGCCGGATATTGGAACTACACAATTCAGGGGTTGACCACGCCATATGGTCCCATCGACATTGCGAGCACCAACAACGCCATCGAGGTAGCCACATCCCCTTTGCAGCGCGCGCTCGAGCTCGAGATTATCGCACGGTCACAATCAGGCAACACATCGCAGATTCCCCCCGAGCTAGATATCATCGCATTCACTCGTCAGGACCAGGGAGCGCTAGAAGCCGATCGAACCGCATCATACCTAAACCTTGTGACATGGGCCTTTCCACCCATATTTACCCTCACACTCATTGGTGTAGTCGATCATCTGACTTCATTTGTTGCTCGCGAACGCGAAATTGGTATGTGGCACCATTTATTCCCATAACACGGACTGACGTTAGTTAGGAATGTCTAGTTTGATTGACACCATGATAATGGGAGGGTCCAAGTTCCGGGGCATAGCCATTCGACAAATCGCGGCTTACGCATCGTTTGCGCTGGTCTACTTTCCCGGCTGGCTGGCAGTGGCCATCGTCATCTCCGCCGCCATCTTGCCCGTCACTTCTAACTATCTACCCGTGGGATTTGTTCTACTTTACGGGCTCGCCGTGACTGGATTTTCTCTCTTCGGGGCCTCTTTCTTCAAGAAAGCCCAGTTGAGTGGCCCCATCATGGTGGTCATCACACTAATCGCCGCCATCCTTCCAGC